GCAACTCTAGCGAGGCGATGACCTTATTTGGGCTTCTCGTGACTTCCAGAGAGAACCACGGACCGTGGCACCCAGGCACTATCTCGCGGAAAACTCCTATTCAGTCTCGGCCATTTTCGGCCTTAGCGTCAGTGAAGAAGACGATCTCTTCGTCTCCCGAAGGTGGCCTGCAAGGCCTCTGCAGACGATCCCCCGTCTCTAGCCGGTCCGCTAGCCAGCAAAAGATGACCTTGATCATCGCTGGAATCTTCATCAGCCCAGCCTTCCCCTGAATAGCTGCCGACCAAGCGTACAAAGGGCCCAGGCCTTGGGACATTTCTCTAGCTGTGACCTGGCCCTCTCTGACTTTCTCCCTTAGCCAGCTGACTAGCCAGGAAGCTCGCTTGTGCGTGAGGCCTAGCTTGTAGCTGGAGTACTCCGTCTCCATTCCTAGCCACTCCACCTCAAAGCCCCCTCTAGTCTTGGCCCATTTGAAGGGGTAGCCCATAGCTGAGAGGTAGAGGTAGCTGAGGACGATGCCTATCCTCCCCCGGGCCGTGGTAGCTAGGGACTCCAAGTCGTCCGCATAGAGGAGGAGATCAAGAGGTAGCTTCCCTAGCAGGTGGTGGGTGGCCCTGCCGCTATCCTCGTCCACCAGTAGCTAGCACAGTTGACCCCGAAGGTGCCCACCTTGTTAACATAGACGATATCGCTAGCTTGGTCTATCTGGCAGCCCAAGAAGCCATGCTCTCTCTCGCAATGCTTGAAGCACCTGTGGGCTTTTGAGATGTCGCCCACCACAGAAAAGGCAACTTCCCCTCGCTCCATCATCCCTAGCAGTAGCTGTTTCTTTTCTCTAGCTCCAGGGGCTCGCAGCTTGTCACGGCAACGTATACGGTGGTTAACAGTCACCCCGTGAGTAGCATCATGGATTAGCCTTTTCTTTCCAATCTCCTCATCTTCCACGATGACAGCCAGCGCCGCGATAGCCGAATTTTCGCCATAGCGTTGGCGGAAGCTTTCCATGGACATTTTCTCCCTGAGTCCCTCCGCTATCTCCTCTTCAAACTTTTCTGTCGCAAAATCGCTATGTTCTCTAGCAGATGAGTAGTTGGGAACCCATGCCTTTCGGGGCTCTCGGTAGCGGTTCCAAGATGCCCACAGGGAGCCCTTTCTCGGCTTGCAGGAGGAAATCTCTATCTGGATCATCTGCAGCTTGTAACAAGGCTCAATCTCAATCGCAAAGGTTGCCCAGGGCCTTTTCTAGCAATCCTTCGACCCCCAAATCCTGGGCCTCGATCCAGTCGCTCCATATCTTGAGGATGGCCTCTTGTAGCTTGCTGTTCTTGACCAAGGTGCAGCCCTCTTCTCCTCCTGTAGCCATCCGGAAGGCTTCTTTCTCTAGCATCGCAAGGGCCCCCCGCGAAGTCTGAGACAGTCTTGAAGAGGGACCGTCTTAGCCAGTCCCAGTTCCTGCCTTCTGCTAGCTCTCGTCTATCACGGGGCCAACGGCCAGGTGAACAGAGCCCCCCTCCGTCGCGGAAGGGTTTATCTCCTCCCACTAGCTTGCAGATTCTTGGAGGTCCGGATCCTCCTAGCAGTCGCCCCCCCTCCGCAGGGCATGTAGGGAAGGGGGCCTCCTCCTCTGTAGCTAGTTGAGCCCCGATAGCAGATGTCTTTTGCACTTCGCCAGACCCCTTCGAAGCTGACGTAGCAGAAAAAGTGCATGTAGCTAGCGACATAGCTGCAATCCACTGGCACATCTTCGCTGGCCATTTCTCTGTGCCCGAGGTCTTGAAAGGCCCCGAGCTCTGTCTAGCTCTAAAGGATCCCATCCATTTAGCCATGGGTAGGGTGTTTGGCAGGCTGCCAAGGGGCGTCGGGCACATTCGCGACGAAGAAGAGCTCGGACAACTGGGCGTCCTTGCAGGAGTGCAGGACCCTTCGACCGCTTTTGGAAGGCGGGCCGAGTTCCGCCACACCGCTCGCAAGGCTTACCCAGTGGGTAGAGCTTTACAAGAGAACGACAACCCGAGGCTCCTGGACCCCAGCATAAAGCGCAAGCTCAAGTCGAGGCTTGTGGTTAGAGGTGATCTCGTGAAAGGAGACCCGAGGTCGGACAGCCCTACCGCTTGGTGCTCTCCTTCGCGGCCTCCAGACGCCTCAAGGCTAAAACTCTGGATGTCACGAACGCCCATTTCCAAGCCGAAGAGGTAGACAGGGTATTCCTGTTGTCTCAGCCGAAGGGCGGACTTCCTGGGATGAAGCCGGGTGACCATAAGCTCGCCAGAGCTTTGATCTACGGCTCCACGGACGGTGGGCGTAGGTTCTGGAAGAAGTTGCGAAGGACCGTGAGAAACAAAGGCCTGTGCGAGAATCGCATCAGCCGTGCGTTGTACAGTTATGTGGACAAGGATGGAGTTCTACAGATGCTCCTCACGTTGTTCGTTGACGACTTGCTGTGGGCATGCGATCCTTCATGCGCCTGGATCATCAAGGACCTCATCGATGAATTCAAATGCGGAACCGTCGAACAGGACAACTTCCGGAATTGCGGAAAAGAGATCC